GGAACATCGTTTCCACAGGAAAAAATTCTCGGACTATGAATATATAAGGTGCACTACTTAAATTACTGTTGCCTAAATCTCTTAAATAATGTTAACTTGAAGGGTCCTTGAAGAAAAGGTTGCGTTACAGGGGAAAAAATAATGAAAAATAACAAAATAAAGTCAAGATAAACACTACTTCTCGGCCTGTGCGTTTGCTTTAAAAAGAGAATACAGTCCGCACCACAGTTTATTGGACATATGTGCAAATAGGTCACACTGCAATCGTTTTGCTACCGATTTCCTACTCCGTTCGTAGTCCAGTGCGGATAAAATCTGTCTGGAAATCTTTATCTTATAACGTGGCGCAGAAAAGTGACAGCATTTCGTCAGTATTCAATGTGTATTTGTTTACACCATCTAATTCTCGAGCGACTTACGTAAACAACCGTCACACACCTTTAATACTTAGTTATACTGTGCACACAGTCATGTAGGTTCAGGATTGAATATTTGGAGCTGATTCTACCCCTTGCTTCTTTGAAACAAAATGATTTCACGTAGCTGTTTTCACTGAATTTTCCTGAACGAAAAATGCCGTCGTCCGTTTCCATAAGCGTTTTAATTGACATTTTCACTTCCCTATATAAACTTTCTCTTATAGTACCAGTCACACGAACAATGAGTTTTCTTTACTTAAAAAATTCGATAGTCAAGAAAATTACTTGGATATCATGGGAATTTAGGGTTTAGGTTTAATCTCCTGTTTTCGTTTTAAAAAAAAGATCTCGATAATTTTTTTCGGTAGCGATTCCTCGTTAAGCAGCGAACTTGTAAAAGCCCCTTGCCCAAGTTACTCACGGAAATTTGGTTTCAAGGTTTAATACTTGATAACGGAGTAGGTAATGCGTGTTTAATGCGTTAAAAGTGAAAAGTAGAAAATACATTGAAGCCGATTGCAAGTGTTCTACTGAGCTAACTATGTATGCAAAGTATCAGGAGGGAATAAAATCGACCAAGATAAACTCCATTTGGTTCAGTAAAGGATGCCTTTTGATCAATATGAATAATAGACAACCCCGATTGGTTAATATTGTGAAGGAAATGGTTGGATAGGCCGAAATTTGACCTACTGAAAAATGTGCAAGTAAGTGGTCATCGTCAATACGAACCCTCAGTGGGCCCCTCTATAGACACCTGCCATTTATTCTTTAATAAACAATGAGTATCAAATACATGAGCTACTGCCCAGTCAAATTTTGATCACAACAGTTATAGAGTGGCGCCATCCCCTGTGACTAGATCGGAGGAACTACACTAACTATCACGTTGGTGTGAACTGTTAAAGGTCGGAAGGCATAACCGGCACAAATGTATTGCATGGCTGATCTGCCAGAGAGCTTCTTATGCTACCAGAAGCGGCATTATTTTCACAACTGGGTTTCATTTGTCTCCCTGGATGCAATGTTGCTTTGCTTTTTTTGTTTCAAGGTGGACTCTGTTGGTTTGAGCCTGTTCTGGCCCGACCAGCATCCGATGGCACGGCTGCTTGTGCCCTTCGCAAATCTCTGGAGAGGGAACGCTCCAGGCAGTCAAACCTCTACTGGAATCATTTCTACGCCAACCACAACCAGAATCATTCCGCCGGCTTTCAGGAGGCACCCTCATGTGTGATAAGGCATCCAAAAGGTAAGACAAGAGTTTATAGCGTAGAAATTTCAGTCACTTCAGGCGGCCTCGTACGCATCATTCAGACAATTTCAACCTTTACATTAGCAAGGGCATCGCTTAAGCGAACACCGTATTACGGACACTTACCTTGTTCAAACTATAAACTCATTTTTCTCGACAATGGATTACATGTTAATGAAGCCTGCATGCAGAGTATTGGCAGCGCATACGACAGGTTGATATGGCCTTGGGTTCATATCAAACATCACTGCGGAGTAGTTTAAACTGGTTTCGTAGTCGCATGTATCTCTCGAATTTTAAAAAATCGCAATTAATATAGCTAGTAAATTCCACCATATTGAATATAAATCTAATAACGGCACGTTAGCCGTCACAGTATCCTCCTTGGCGACGGGACCTATCGTTCAGCAGAATGTTGATTCTCGGTGTTAGTATTCATGTGCTAGGTACTTGGCAAGGAGAACTCTATGACGGTCTAAACAGGAACAGGAACCACCCACAATATATATAGATTTTGCCAAATTCCAGGGGAATTATATTTGGTGTCAGTATCAGTATCAGTTTATTGAGGGAAAGATAGGCGAATGCCTTTGAACTCCCTGTTGGTAACAGGATGATATTAAATAAGTCAATACAAAGAAAAATTTAAAATGTACGACAGTTGCATGTTCCGTGAAAAACAATCTTCACAAAAATATGACAATAAAATATATGGCTACTTGCAAATCGCGAGTTAAAGTTGGGGTTAGGGTCAGGTTTATGTTAACTATTAAGGTTTGGGTTTGCGTTAACTGTCGGCTTTAGGTTTATGGCGGGACTAGGCTTACTATTAAAATGAAGGTAACAATTTTTTTATTTTAGCATTGATGTGAGGTTTAAGACAGGGGAATATTCACCCCTCCTGAAATGCATCGCGCGGCCACCTCCTTTATTGGTCAGGGCGGCCGTACGAGTTATTCTCACCCAGTACGTTCGGCTACAATTCGTCGGTTATTTTCTTAATCGAAGTAAGTTTGTTTAATCAACTCTACTTCGTGCCTAGGACAAGGAATTGCGACAGGTTGCAAACTGCGCCCTATCCAATCACAAGTCGTCTTCATCTGGGCTTACTACAGACATACAATGTGAATGTTTGTGGTGTTAATGCTGTTCAACAGCCTCTCTTTCGACTAAATCTAATGCTTTATCAATATATTCCAAAGCGCTAAAAGCTCTGGCATGGAAGGTTAGCCGTTGATGAGCTTACTTGGTCATCCCGGCGAGGGCCAGCTTTAATGGGAAGCTTCCCGGTGCGTCATCCTCAGGCAAAACGTCGGTTAGCCTCGTCTGCTTTTGCTCAATACTGAAAGCAGTTACTTCGCCTGTGACCGCTGCTCTTTAAAAAACCCAGTCGTGAGCTGAACGTCACGTAGGATCAGACTGCATTTGACGAAGTCGTACAGCAAAATATTTTCTGCGAATATCTATGCCTCAAAGAGCCTACCCTTAAGGCTGTTTATGCACGCTACTAAATAAAAGATAGTAGCATTGCGAATTAATCAGAAATGGCCGGGATCTTGCATATAATTCATGTTTAGCTTTCTCCTCGTGCGCTTATACACAACAGCCTTACTAGGCGATACAGCTGTTGTAAGTTCAGTTTAAATTAAACAATTCATAAAGTCTTTGCAATTCAATTCCGGCTGAAACCCATACATGCTGTCGAGGGATGGTATTGTTGCAAAAGAAAAAAGCCGCCTTTTGGATGTTCTTTCCCTGTTTTTATCCACGGTTATGGTTTTCAGTAAGTGGACACTGTTAACTTCTCTTATTATAACGTTTAAGTGGCTTTTATTATACTATCAACGGATGAACGCTTCTGAATTTTGACAGGAACTATTCATCATCTGACCTGCCCTGCATTTATTCTAGGCGAGTTTTTGCTGATAAGGGCGGGCGAAGAAAACGTCTTTCCGAGGTAGGTTAAGGCTGTCCGGACTTCAATTTCGTTACAAAGGCCTATGAATATTTAAACATTTGGAGGTATGCTATTGTGCGTGCAGTCTTGTCACAAAAACAGATGCATTCTAATGGACGCCTCTTCAACCCAATGGACAAGTTACCTATACCTGAAATTGGTAGCAGG